TTTTGAAGCTCTCAGTTTCTAACAGGCACATGCCAGAGAGGTCTCTGGAGCCTTGATGGGAATGAGCACCAGCATGTCGACACATGTGTGCCCACATGCATGCACACCTGCGTGTGTTGGGTGGGAACATTTTAATAAGAATGTTCTAAAACAAATAATAGAACCATAGAACGAACAAAAAGAAGATTTATCTGCAGAGGTATGTTCTCCTTAAAGTTAAAAATCGATGGGGTTGTGGAGGGAGCTACACAGTACTCATGCTTGCCTACACAGTTGATGGTGTTGTTTGAAATTAACCTTTTCCAGTATTAAAGCATATGGAAAGACTTGGTGCTAACTAAAGATTTGTTGACCGAGAGAATCAATGGATAGAGTCGCGGAGATCTGTGAGATACAGTTTCTGCTCTGTCATTTACTAGCATATGGGCTTCTACAAATCTCATCCCTACGTCTGGAGTGCAATTTTTGGTGAAGTTACAAAAGAAAAAGCAAGTGCTCTATTTAGAATAGTTCCTGACCCAGAGTAGAGGTCCTTTGGTTATTCCGGAGGTTAATGCTACTGCAGATGCCATCAGTGGAGACAGGCTGGGAAGGGAGAGGTCTGCCTGAGCTTCAGGAGAAACTCCGCAGAAGACCCAGGAAGGATATGGACAGGACAACAGGACCAGAAAAGACAGGTCAAACCGGGGGTACTCTGTGAATGAGCATAGGGTCTCAGCCTGGAATGGACACGCTATTTAGACATAGCAGAAGGCCTGAAGTCACAGACTTGCCAGCATCAGGGAGCTTTTTCTGGGCAGGAATGGAAGGAAACAGGTTTTAAGGGATAAAGCATAATAAAGACCTGTCAGGGCGTAAAGTAATAGTCTGTTTTTGACATCCTTTTTTAGTTCTAAAACTCTAATAACCTTCATTATATCGCTTAGTCAGTGACCGCAGAGTCACACAGTTTGTTGGAGATGGAGGTGGGATCTAGAACGTCACTGCAGCAGGAGGGAGGGCACGCAGGACAACACGGCACAGGCAGGCTGGCCCATGCGCTGGGCACCAAGGTCACGTCCAGGTCTGCCCTGGCCACCACCTTAAACTGCCTGCCCAGCATAGTTGCTACCCATTCATTATTTAAGGAGGATATTTTTCATGGCTTTTTGAAAAGTTACTTAAGAAAACTTTAACCTAAACCAAACATTGACTCCGGTAGAAATGTCTGTACTATACTTTACAGTTGGTTCCCTTGAGACACAGTGAGCAGTCCTAGTAATGGAAGAGGGAGGGGTTCAATAACTACAGGCACCTGTTTAGCACAGTCCAGCCATGCATTGGACCGAACATACTTATTACAAGTGCCACAGCCCCTGGCATGATGGCTCTTCGTCATCCCCACTTGACAGATCAGAGTTTAAAGAGGCCAAGTGTTTGCTCGGGTTTACCAAGCAAGCAGGCTCTGAGGTTGCAGCTAAACCCCTGCTCCTCTGCTCCAAGCCTGGCCTGTCAAAGGCAGCTTCCTTTAGATCCTCACGCATTTGGGAGGATGGGGATTCCATTATTCCAAACAGCAGCTGTTGCAGAGCGAGGATGCTTGAAAAGAGCCGCGCTGTGTCCTAATTACCTACGGCAAGGAAAACATCTGTGTGGGGAAAGTAATGAAATTAATTCTAAAGTCGAGCAGTTGCATACATTAATTGACGTTAATTAATGCCAAATTACACGATACTTCCTATGGAATCACATCATGCACTCCCTGGAATTGAATATGAAAAGAGTTCATCATACTTAATGCTATCACCGCCAGCCCGAGGGGAGGGGAGTGAGAGCGATTGGTCCCTGGTTAGGAAGCGCAGCCAGCTTCTTTCTGTTGCCGTTAGGAGGGGAAAGGGAAGGAACCAGAGCACTTGACCAAGGGCAGGCAGTGTGACACTGAGCCTTGCCCTTGGGCTTGAAATTTCACTCTGAGCAAGAAATGCTCTCCAGACCTCTTCCTGGGGCTTTTGTTGCATCACCCAGTTGTACATTTTGTACAGTCAGCCCCAGGATGGGCTCATTGCAGCAAGCCCCCCATGACCTCCTACCCGACCCAGGTGAGGGGTGCTGACCAGAGACTTGTATGCAGGTTGTCTGCCTCTCTCACGTTGCTGCCTCTATACTATTGTTGACATTTCATATACATCTTTTATTCATTTTTCCTGTGCAAACATACATCTATAGATATCTATATATACACCTGGCACAAAATCTGGTCCATATGCACATATTTTGGTAACCTACTTTTATGAAACTTTTATTTTGGAATAAATTTAAATAAACAGAAAAGTTCCCAAGACAGTACAGCTTTACCCAGCTTCTCCTAATGTTAACATCTTATACAGCCATGGTCTATTTTTTAAAACTAAAAAATGAACAGTGATAAAACATTAGTAATTAGTAACCTCTGTTTATAATGTAAACTATATTAAGCATTTCTGTATCACCTTATATACTCTTTAGAAGCAAGATTTTAATAGCAGCTCCTTAAAAGAACTCTCTCACTTTTTGTTTACTAGATCTGGATTTAAATGTCCCTTTCAACCAGTGGTGAGAAAGTAGGTAGACCTTGAATGGGAATAGACCCAAAAGGATTATGGGAACTTCTGAATCACATGAAGAAAGGATGAGCCAACAAATCCATTTTGGCTTTTCCAACAAAGAAACAGGGAGGAATGGGTATTGGACACCAACAGTACCTGATGCAGAGATACAGCTAGAGTACTCAAATCCAGTTCAACCAGTCTTTTAAAGGACCTACTATGTGCCGAAGACTGATATTTGTGAAAGCAAAAGAGAAAGCAGGGATTTTATCAATATTAATAACAACTGGCCTTTGTAAAAGTTTGAGTTTCAAAACATTTAGCATATGTTTTATTTATTTCAGTTAATTCTTACAGCCACACTACAAGATAGTTGACATTGGCATCTCCATTATGAATGAAGGTAGCAAGATTCAAGAAGACTATGATTTCCTTTGAACTATGCAGCTAATAAGTGACCACACCAGACAGAACTTAAGCCTAAGTCTCATAGTCACCAATTTCCATTGTTTCTATGACCCCAAGCTACCTTTGAAAAACAGAAGTCAACTAAAAATTGTAAAAGGGTCTGGTGGAGTGTGAAATTGTGAGGTAGAGATTTTGTGTGCTGTGGGGAGGATTGTTCTTGGAAGGGTTAAGTCCCAGAAATTGTCTTCAAGGACAAAGACCTTGAGTTATGCCCAAAAATGGAACTATTATAATGTCTGTAAAAGAGGATAGGAAAGGATCAGTAGAAGACTTTTCTTTAGTTCATCATTGGAAGTGATTTCAGCAGAACTAGATGGATTAAAGGACTTGAGAGCTATCCCCATTTGTCATTTATGCATGTGGCAGCCAGATGGAGGAAGGTTGAGGGTAAAGCTTTCCTCCATCAGTCACTGTTCAGATGGAGCACATGTGCTGGCCGCCCCTCGTGACTCTCCTGGCGGAATTCAGGGATACCCAGGTTCCTTCAGTAAACTTCCTGGAACTTTAATTAAAGGAAATTAGTGAACCCTTATATCCAACTGTATATGGTAATGCTACCCCCATTTCATGTAAATATATTTTGATTTATTTGAAAGAAAGGATTTTTGCATACATCACTGATGTGTTAAAATCAAATTCATTAAGCATCAACCAAGTAAAATGACTTTTTCATTCAAAAAGATACATTCCAATAAAGAGGCATGTGTCAATGAATATTTATTGCCTACTATGTGACAGTAATGTATTGCAACCCAGGTATGTGCCTTTGACCTGGAATCAAACCCGAGACCTATGGTGCGCAGGCGAACACTCTAACCACTGCAAACACAGGTCAAGGCAGGAGGAACATTTTAAGTAGAGGAAATACAAATGAAAATAAAGTGGTAGGAAGTTTGGCCCACTTTCTGAACATAAAGTAGGACAGATTAGAAGAATCACAGTGGGGAGAAGAAGGGATTAGCATGAGGGGAGGTTGCGTCGGTAGACAGTGGAGGGTTTGAATTTATTCTAAAGTCAAGGAGGCCAAAGGAGTTTTAAATAACCAAGTGACATCTGAATAGTAGAGAGAACAGAATAGTTGTGGCTGAAAGCAAGGACAGCCTCCCTGATACAATATATGTCCAACAAAGGTCAAAATTATGAGTTATTATATGTTTATCATCTGGCTTAGAGGCTTAGATGGAAGTCGAGGTCTTAATTAATTCATCTACAAGATGAGAACAAAGTTTTTGACTCAGGAATCCCTTCTGTATTCTGTTTCACTTCCAATTAGTAGTAGAAGGAAAACCTTTATCTTGACATAGAGCCTTCTTATTTATGACAGCAACACTTCTAGCATGAGATGATGGATGATTGCATATATAGGTGTGCATTTCCCTGTTTGTTAATCAAAGGTCAAAGTGTGGCAGTGAAGCCTAGTGAGAAAATATACTATGAAAGCACAAGTATTGCTCGGCCAGTGTTGTTCAGCGGTTGAGCATTGACCCTTGAACTGGAAGGTTGCCATTTGATTCTGGTCAAGGCACATGCTGGGTTTGTGGGCTTTGATCCCTTATTGTAGGGGGCTTGTAGGAGACAGCCAATCAATGGTTCTTTTTCTTTCATTGATGTTTCTATCTCTCTCGTCCTCTCCCTTCTTCTCTCTAAAATCAGTAAAATAAAAAGAAAGCTCAAGTATTATTGCCAGTTTTTGAAAATACTTTCATTTGGTTTAAACGGGAAAGAAATGAATTAAGGAGAATTTAGTGTTTAGGATGGCATAGGCGCTGGGAGACAGGGTAGTGGGTTGATAGCAAGTGAGTAAAATCATAATGACAGCGATGATAACAATGATTATGACAACAGTAATGTGGTTAACAGAGAATGTGAGGTTTATTTAAATACTTGGAGGTAGCAAGGAAAATAGAAAATATACACTCAGACTCTAATTCTCTGTGTGCATATCACCCTCCCCTGTTTTTTTTCCAGATTCGCAATACCTGACTTGCCGCATGCAGAACTGCACCGAGGCCAACAGAAATAGACCTTTCCCGGGCTACATTGACCCGGACTCCTTGATTGTGCAGGATGATTACGTGTTTGTTCAGGTGGGAAAGATCCACTTCTACTGATTGTCTCAAAGACCTTTTCCTTTTTCTGTCCCTAATGCAGCCCCGCTTGCCTGCTTCCGGAAAAAGAACAAAAAGCATTATCTTTTCAACAAAAGGAACATTACCAAGCATCAGATCTCCTCTACTAACAGAATATTAATGAGTTCCTTTGGGCAGTGTGTGGAGGACCTTATCAGCCCGGGTCAGGGGTCAGGGAGGTGCAGCGCAGAGTGCTGTCCATCCCTCTCATCTGCATTCTGAGGAGCTCCCAGCAGCCAGCAGCCAGCAGCGGGGCTGAGCAGAAATGTCCATCTCTTCCTACCAGGAGAACGACCAGCCCATCAGCCTCCTCCCCAATATCCAGTTTAAAAATAGAGAGGCAGCTAGGAAGAGGAAGCAGTGGGGTGGCTGGAGGTGGAGGGAGCAGAGAAAAGGTGGTAGTAATCAGCCATTATTGTCGTGCCCTGACTGTGATTAGGATGAAGCGAATTTAGATGAGATGCATTCAGACAGGCTTGGCACCTCCTCAGAGAGTGGGAAACAGCTTGAGTAGCTGAGGTTTCATGAGTGTTTAGAAGAGACAGGAAGCAAGTATGCTTTACTTCTTATCAGCTTTTAAGGAACATCTTAGGCTTATTTGGACAATGCTGTTAAAAATTCAGTTCTTTCTTTCCATGTTAAAAATGGTAAAGGTATAATTGCTAACTAGTGTGTGTGTGTGTGTGTGTTTGTGTGTGTGTGTGTGTGTATACTCTCTCTACATATACATATATATTTATACCTACACACACAAATACTTATGATTTCACTAAGCTTGATCCAAACTATTATATTTTAGAAAGAAACCATAATACCATAATTTAGAATATTTAATCCAATGATTCGAGGAAGCAAATAAATGTTCAAAATACCTAACATCAGCCTATGTACTTCAAAAATGTTTCACAAATGATTACACACACACACACACACACACACACACTATTATATTTTAGAAAGAAACCATAATTTAGAATATTTAATCCAATGATTTGAGGAAGCAAATAAATGTTCAGAATACCTAACATCAGCCTATGTACTTTAAAAATGTTTCACAAATGATTACACACACACACATACACACACATTTTCTTTTTCTTCAGGGAAATGAGTAATGAGTACTCTGATAACTTCAGCATCAATTATCAAGTGACATTGAAATGGTTACACACATTGGTTCTCTCTCTAATTTATTTCTCTATCAGGGTTACTTCCTGGAACTTTTTTTTTCTGTTTTCTAATAATCATTTATAATCTACATATATGACTTACATATGAGAATCAGTTCTGCATTTAGAGTTTTTCTTATTTTTCTACCCATGCCACTGTGAACGTGACCCTTCAACTCATCACTGGGAGGAGTAGGTGATCTGGCCACATATTGATGAATATTTTAGTTATGTTTTTATGTGTCTGGTGAACAGTCACCCAAAGCATATGTTGGCATTCTGAGTATGCAAACTCCAGTTGACATTCAAACTCCAGAGGCTTATATGGGTTAAGAGTGGCTATAGGAACTCAAAAATAGAGTAGATTAGTGGTTTCCAGGGTCTAGGAAGTAGGGAAATGGGGAGATGTTGGTCAAGGATACAAACTTCCAACTATAAGATGACTAAGTTCTGGGATCTAATATAGAGCATAGTGACTATACATAATGATACTGTATTACACACTTGAAAGTTGTTAAGAGCTTAAATGGTATCCATCCATACATACAATAATCTTACTTAAGTGAAGGCATGGAGGTATTAACTAACCTTATTAGTGGTAATTATTCTGTGCAATATATATGTACCAAGTCATCACATTTTACACGTCACTTTTATATATGTCAGCGATTTTCAACCTTTTTCATTCTGCGACACAAAAAATATATTTTTTTCGGACCTGATAAAAATTAGGTAAAATGATGACTCATTCACAGCGGATAGCTACTGTTGTGTTGGCTATTGTCATTTTTTAATTTGAAAATCTAAGGGAAAAGAGTGCAATACCTGACTAAATAGTCAGGTATTGCATATTTTTAAAATGTGGTGGGAATACTGGTTGAAAATTGCTGGTATATGTCAATAATATCTCAATAAAGCCGGGGGGAAAGGAGTGACAACGGAGAGAGAGATTGGCAGTGGCACCCTTAATACACTGTACTGAATGGGCCTCATGCCAAGGTAGATACCACACCCTCCTCGCCCTCCCTCACACTCATGGAGTTCATTGGACTCTGTGTGCTGGACAAACTTGGGGAAGGTTGCTCAGAATCAATTCTCAGAGATAGAGCTCTCTGAACCATCCTAACGTGTCAGCCCTGCTGTGTGTTGGACATGCTCACAGCCATCAATGTCACAGCCACATACCAGAATCAGTGCCCAGAGATATGGGACCTGGACTGCTTCCTTCTGATATGACTGGAGACCTGTCTGCATGGCCATAGTCTTGGGGCTAGATAGCTGGGCTGCTCATGGACATTGATCCAATATCCCTCGAGGCTTGTATCTTTAAAAGTTCATAATCACTGACAATGTTTCCTGGCTTCTGAGCCACAGTGCAAATTGAAAAATTGTATTTTTGTCCAGTGGGTTCCATCTGGGCCTCTGACCAACTCACATGCACTGTTTAAGTTGTTTTTGAACTGAAAGCCAATTCCTGACACTTTTCCACGGTAGTCATTCACACTGATGTGTTGGCAGCGACCTCCTTTTGTTTAGTGGCTGTTCTTCCAGGGCCTGTAACTGTTACAGTAGCTCCTCTCACAACTGTGTGTTTCTGGTCCAGCTGACGTCGGGAGGACGGCCGCATTACTACGTGTCTTACCGAAGGAATGCCTTTGCCCAGATGAAGCTGCCCAAGTACGCTCTGCCCAAGGTATGACCTGAATCATTCTTCATTTTAGTTTCCTCTGATTCCCATAGGCCTCCGCCACCCTCTTTCCCAAGCATCTTTCTGTCTCTCATTGTCATGTATTTATTTTCATCTACCATCTGTTTCTCAAGTTCATTAGGTGTCACTTTTTTTTGCCAATCTTATCACTCTCCTTTCTCAGCATATTCTCTCTCTCTCTCTCTCTCTCTCTCTCTCTCTCTCTCTCTCTCACACACACACACACACACACACACACACACACTCACTCAAACTCTCTCTCTCTCCGTCTCCCTTTCTCTTTCTCCATGCCTCTCTCTCTCTCTCTCTCTCTCTCTCTCTCTCTCTCTCTCATCCTATAGGAGCATCTGAATAAATAAATTGATAACTGATTTGCTTTTGCTTTTCAATAATAAAGATTTTCAAGCAGTAGGTATTGGTTTTCTAGCAAGACAGAAAATACACTGGGGATACAGTGTTTCAGTGCAATGGGTATGATATGTTTCCTTCTCAATTTTTTTTTCTTTTTAATTATTGAGAGGCAACACACCTATATGGTATCCAACCTTTGCTTTCTCTTTCAATGGAACTTGAGACAGGTTGTCTTTAGAGTTCTGAGTCACAGCTAATTTTTCAGACTGCCGCAAAGACAGATGCCTTTCTAAACAGTGGCTGATAAGAGTTAGAGACCCTCATCTGTGGAAGTCCCTGGCTCTTTCCACACACTCTGAGGCACTGCGTTAATATGGAGCACCACCTAGTGGAGGTCAAGCTGACTTGGGAGCTCAAAGTTTCAGACCTGTGGTCTTGCTGCCATTGTGTGTACTAAAAGTGGCCATAAATTGTTAATGCATTGGACCTTGATTTTAGAGCAACAGAGGTGTGTGGCTATAAGACAGAGACTGTGTAAATATAGTTACAGCTCAATTTTGAAACCTTTGGGTTGAACAAAGTACATAAAGCACTTTCTTTTGATGGAGTTTTTATGACTCTAGTATTTTTAATCCATAACTTTGTAGTATGCTTGTCTGACCTAACACCAGTGTGCTGCCCAGGAAATCAGGTAACACAAGGGCATTGCAGAGCTCCTCTTGTGGGAGAGCCAATGATAGCTAGTTGCTCTGGCTTCTCCAGGCAGAATTCTCCCTTCTGGCCATCACTCTGTCCTTACCCCTAGCATCGTGAAAGGTGAGCTGTAAACCTCAGCCCATTAGAGATAATAATACACATTAAATTGCGCTATTAACTGCCAAGAACTATATTCATGTTAGTAGTTATTATGTTCAGCTGCTAAGAGATTCATGACAGCGGTAATTGCCCAGAACTAACTATATGTCTCTACCTGTGTACATTTAAATCCTTCCTGCTCTTGATTTGGCTTAAAATTGTTACCAAAGAGACAAGAGCTTACAGCTTTGGGGTGTGCCTAAATGAGAATTGGGTAAAGTCAGTATGTAAAGGGAAACTGGGTGTTCTTAAAATTGCCCTTGCTAATCTCTTAGAAAGGCCTTTGAGGGAGGTGAACATGGTACCTCACTAAGTCCAATAGACCTGGTTTTTCTGTCTCTTGAGCATGGAAATCAATTGCTGTTTCTTTGATTGACCAGCAACTAACACAGTTGGCTTACAAGATTTAACACCTTTAAAGAGGAGAATTATACTCAATGCAATGAGATACTCTTGTTCAAAATGCAGGAGGGAATTGAGATGAAATTAGTAAATAGCAGATTCAAATCACTCATCTCATGCTCACTGTTAGAAATACATTTTTTTAAGTGGAATAAGTCTCAGCCAAACGAAATTCTATTTAAAGCAGCATTGAGGCTAGAGCTTAAGTCTCCAGACTCCCAAACTAGCATTCTTTGTATTATATCTTTCTTTTCTTGGGATAAATCAATGTATTCTATTATTGGAAGATAGTAGTATCTCCCTTGCCCCCCAATTTTGATCAGGTGAGGATATCATGAAAAATATTCCCATTGACCTGAGGAACCCCAGAAATGGTAGTTTAAAGTCAAAGAAACATCCTTGCACCTATTGGAGAATGTGAGGAAACACACTCCTTGCTTTTCTCGTTCAGAGCCATCACGCAGATCACTGGTGGCAGTTGCCCCCGGTGGCATGGAGCCAATCTAGAAGGACAAGTTTGACTTTACACCTGAATCGGCTGTCTGTCTCCTCCCCCTGTTCTCCCACATGAGCCTGTCCCATTCCTCAGCCTGGCCTGAGCTCTGAGGGTAGAGGGTAGTGATTCATTTGAGGGTAGTGATTCATTTAGCTCGTCCCCATATAGCAAATGAATGTATTCTTTGGTCCAAGTGGGTGTGTACTATTTAAGGCAATGAGATGCCTCATTACAGTCCCATTACCCCTTCAAAGAGCCCGCTTGGTGGAGTGATCCGCAGTGAAGGTGCGAATATTTCACGGCCCTCTATCAAAGCCGGCGCTGCTGTGGCTGGAAATGAACAAAGCTTCGTGTCCCCCAAAGCAATTAAGACAAACCAGCACTTTTGTGCTCAAATGATCATCCACTGCCATTGCGTCAGCTCTTGAAACACCATGGTTACGCAGGGCTGTGTCAAAAACACACACATGCAGGTTTAATATAATGGTAAAGATGACCAGAGAGGGGGAGGGGGAGAGTCTAATATTGCTGTCACCATGAAGAGCGTGAGTCTCACCAGACAGGGAGAGACAGCGACAGTTTCCTTCCCTTAACTTACTTGGAGCTCATTCTGAGCTACTCAAGTGAGATAAATGAGGCAATACATATGAAAGTTCTCTGAGCATTTCGGAGGACAGATACTCTATAAAAGCAAGGTAATATTATTATTAGTATGGATCTAGTTGTCTGTGTGGTCGAAGATCGATGCGAACTGGGGTCTGGGTTGTGCAAAGGCTGTTTGATTCACAGCAGAAGAACAGAATTCCAGACCTACATCTGCCACTACCCTGCTTTGAAACCTGGCTGGTTTACCAATTTCTCTTTCCCTGTTTTTGTTTGTGTTCTTTCTTACATTTTTTAAAATAAGGAGTTTGGGCTCACGACCATATGTTCTCACATGTGATACTCAGAATAAAATGCCCTTAGAGATGATTCATGAAAATTTGATTCTGTGACAAAATACATTTAAAAAAAAGAAATAAAATTTATTCTTTGTTCCTTGACTAGAGAGTAACAGTAGCTAGCTAGTATGTTGAAGGCTCTGGGTCTAGGACATCTTGTTACCAAGAAACTTATATATTAGTAATTCAGCATAAATCAAACCATTTTACCAAAGGACCCATTTTTTAATCTATTAAAAATCTAACAATGCTACTTTCCTACGGAACAGACTTTGGGAAAGACTGTAGTAGAAGATCTCAAGGATCACTTCTAGGTCTGTAATTCTGTGTCTCAGGAAAAGCATTCAACATAACATGCTACCTGGGAGAAAGAGCGAAAGAGCATGTTTTCCTGATAGAGGAGGTGGATGTAGGTAAGAAGAAATAATGAAGATGTCATTTAAATATGTCAAATCTTCCAATTAAAATATTTAAGACCAACATCATTAAAAAAAAATTCAAAGGTTCTGGCCAGTGCAGTTCAGTTGGTTGAGTACCACCCCATGCACTGAAAGGTCACCTGTTCAAATCCCGGTCAGTACATATACCTAGGTTGTGGATTCGTTCCCTAGTCAGGGTGTGTACACGAGGCAGTCAGTCAATGTTTCTCTCTCACATTGATGTTTCTCTCTATCTCTCTTCCTTTCCCTTCCTCTCTCTGAAGTCAATAAAAACATATATTTCTTAAATTGTTCAGTGTATGTAATTAGATTATATGGAGAGAAAGACACCTCATCTTGGTCCTTATCCAGAGGTGGCCACTTTAATCTGCTATTATTATCTGCTGTGATTATATGACTAGTACTCTGAGTGACAGAAACACTTTATGTGTCTATGTTTTCAGTTCAACATCCAAAGACTAAAGGTTCAAGTGTGTGGCATAGTATAGAGGATGTACTGTAGCCCCTGGGATTATTTAATGAGATTTCTCTTGTGACCCAGACTTCAGAGTTTCACTTTGACTCCAAAGGCACAGGAATGAGTTTTGTAGGGGCCAGGCTATTGCCGATGTACCTTAACTTGAATGGAGAGATGACAGTGTATCCCGCTGACATGGAAGGGAACTTGGATTGGGAGTAGTTATTTGAGGATTCTAAATACCAGGGTATGGCTTCTGGTCTTTATCCTATAGGAAATGGGGAGCCATAGAAGGTTTTGCTCTCCATGATTGACTGGCCCTGGCATAATTTCCACAGCTAATTCCCTCCATTGGAAAGGAACAAAACCCTTGGGTGAACCAATTTTTGTAGAGTATGTTAGTGAGCACCCTAGCGCTGGCTGTGAACAGGAAGGCCACATGGACCTTGCTTAATCAACAAAAGGGATGTAAAGGTGTGCTTATCTGAAAATCACTGGCAAGTGGAGCAGATGTTCAGTGCTTTGAACTCCCTAGCTGATGTAATTCCCTCCACCACACCCCACCCAGGTCCATGGAAGGCCCACGAGAACTCCTGAGGCACAGAGTTCAGTTCATAGTTAAGTTACAGAGCCCAGATTTGGACTCAAACAGTTTATTTCAGAATCCATTTTTTTAAAATAATTTTGCTCTATTGTCCTCTCGAACCCAAAACTTTACAGGTGGGGCAGGCTTTTAAGTTGTCCACATTCAAAGACAAAGAACATCACAGAATTTGGCCTCTCTTCTCTACCTTTCTAGACTATTTTCTTCAGGATCGACTTCATCTTCTACCTCAAAAAATATGTCTTCATCAGATCCAGACTTTAGAAAATTCTTACTATTTACAAACCAATAGTAAGAGATGCTTTCCCCCCATTCTAATAGTCCCAGCTTCATTCCAGATTCATGTGTTATTGATTTTGCATAGGTCATATATTCAACACTGATCAAGTTGCTATCATCAGGGAAATTAGATATTCTGAATGCTGGGCCTACAAACCCACTTCTGGTGCTGAGGGTGAAAGAAAACAACGGAGACTGGGTTAAGAAGGAATTTATCTGTGAGGGATGAGGATGTTTTTCAAAGTAGATTGAGATACAATTATCAAAAGAAATATAAAGAGACATTGGATAGATACATGCAATGGCCCACTTTTATTCCAAAATTTAGTTTGTGTTGTTGATTACATTGATTCAATGGGAAGGATTTATTTTGGCCTTCCAACTCTGGGTTAATTCTACAAAAGCTTAACCAAACTCCAGGCCTGAGGAATGCAAAGCCCTATAGATAAAGACTTCTTCCTTCTGGACTCATTTGATTTCACTTTGATCAAGGCTGAAAAAGAGGGAGTCACTTGTTCCTCTATGTCTAAAGCACAGTCAGAGCTGAATTGCTGATTGGTTGAATGATTGGTTGATTGATTGAGAGAACAGAGGTATATATTACAAGGAGAAAATCAGCTTAGAAGGTAGGTAGAATTTTGCTGTACTGGAATTTTGACCAAGGAAGATTGACAGATCTCCTAAAGCTTTTCAAGGGTAGAGTTAGGTTCATCTGGGAAAACTTGAGTACTAAGCTACACAAAAGCCAAGAATCTTTCCTTGTTGTTCTTTGTGCTTATGTATAATTTTGTTGTTTTGCTTTGATTTTTGGTTTTTGAAAGTTATATCAATGTCTACCACCTTGGGCAAACAGCACATGGACAGACATCTCCTAAGGGAGACAGCAAGCCTTGGTCTGTGTCTGCTTTTCTCTGAACATCCACTTCTCTGGAGTTCAGAATAGGGGAAGGAGGAATTGAAATTCCCACCCCAGGGACATCTGCTCACTGCCCCCACATTACTTTTGCCTTCTTTTTATCTTCCAGGACAACCAGGGTATGAAAACATCATCAATTATGCAGTCTCTCTCTCTCTTTTTTTCTTCTTTTACTTAAGGTTTCCTGCTGAACTCAGAGTAAAGGTTTAGATAAGCAGCTAAGTCCTTGAACATGCATTAACATGAATATTAGTGCTTTGCTTTCTCAGGTGAACATTATTCCTCAAGGTCTTCCGGGGGTTGCTGAACCTTTGGGCAGTGCTTCTCAAATTTTATTGTGCATATTAATCACCCATGGATCTTATTAAAATGCAGATTTTTGATTCAATAGATCAAACTCGAAGTTCTGTGTGTCTAACACACTTGCAGGTGATGCCCGTACTGGTCCATGGACCACACTGGAATATGCAGAGCTTGTCAGGTTTCTCTCTGTTCCTTCAGATTTTTATGAAGGAATAAACCCCATATAATCCTTCTGAGCATGAACCATGCTGTGGTTGGCAAATATATCAGAATGACTGATTCTCCAAAGTCATACATATTTGAGAAAGTATTCTTCCATTATCTAATGAGACAATTAAATCATAATTGAGCTACCAAGCATCTCTCTGTCCTATTTTCTCATAACACTGCTGCCTAACCCCATACAAGAGAAAGGAAATACATGAATAACACTTACCTAATTAATTATGACATCACAAATACGTGAAAGGGAAATTTCTACCTCCACTTATAGTTGCCGAAGTGCCTATTTCGGTATTCCTCATTAGATGCTATGCTGTTTGGATGCATGTCAGATTTATTTATAAAATTCTTCTTCACTTTCCTGTGTTTTATTTAGGACATGCACGTCATCAGCACAGATGAGAATCAAGTGTTTGCAGCGGTCCAAGAATGGAACCAAAATGACACCTACAACCTCTACATCTCAGACACCAGGGGTGTCTATTTCACCTTGGCCTTGGAGAATGTCCAGAGCAGCAGAGGCCCTGAGGGCAATGTCATGATCGACCTCTATGAGGTATGTCACAAGGCACGTGTGGTCCTGAGCCACTCCAGTGCCTGCACTGGCTGACGAAGGCCCAACTGGCTGTTTCCTTCATCATTTTGATATGAGCAAATTATGTGGCCTCATTCAATTTGGGAGAGGGAGCGAGTTGCAGAACATTTGTAATGCAACCCACAGAACAGCTCTGGGAAGGATCTTTTGTTCACCAAGTTCACAGGCGAGGAAGCCCCAGAGGACTTGGAGAGCATCAGGGGAAGCGGTAAAGCAATTAAAGGGTTTGAACAAGAGCCTGGATGCTGTTGTATGTCAGTGGTTGTATGTCACCTCAAGAACCAGGAGGTCACATACAACCGATTCCTGGTCAGGGCACATGCCTGGGTTGTGGGCTCAATCCCCAGTAGGGGGCATGCAGGAGGCAGTCTATCAATGATTCTCTGTCATTATTGATGCTTCTCTCTCTCTCTCTCCCTTTCCCTTCCTCTCTGAAATCAATAAAAATATATATATTTTAAAAGAAGGATTTCAACAAGATTCACAGAGTATGCAATTTGAAAATAGTCTTGAGAGGCCAGCAGGGTATCAGGATATAGAGCAGTGGTTCTCAACCTTCCTAATGCCGCGACCCTTTAATGCAGTTCCTCATGTTGTGGTGACCCCCAATTTCATTGTTACAAATTGAACATAATTAAAGCATAGTGATTAATCACAAAAACAATATGTAATTATATATGTGTTTTCCGATGGTCTTAGGCGACCCCTGTGAAAGGGTCGTTCGACCCTCAAAGGCAGAGGTCCTCAAACTTTTTAAACCGGGGGCCAGTTCACTGTCCTTCAGACATTCCACACATGTGCACTGTGGGCCCGGGACGAGTCAGCTGCTAAGCAGGACAGGCAGTGGCGGCAAAAACACCCGGAGGGCCAGATAAACGTTTTCGGAGGGCCCCATGTGGCCCGCGGGCCGTAGTTTGAGGACCCCTGCTCAAAGGGGTCGCGACCCACAGGTTGAGAACCGCTGATATAGAGCAAAGGGGACAGTGGTCCCTTATCTCTGTCTGAGGAAAATAAGGGAGGAGACACCTTTGCATTGCATCAGAAGACACTCCCTTGGACTTGAACACCTTTCCAACTAGATAACCTCCACTGGCTGACTGCCTGCCTCTCAGAGGAACAGTGAGTGAGATAAGAGTAATAGATCTTTCTTTCCTAAATGACGGATGGAGGGGGACAGAGCAGAGTTCCCCAGGCTTCCTTAAGGGAACTTTGGCCCTTTGTTTCTTAAAACGACCAAGATTGAAAACCAGGGAAAATGGCGACCAGCAGGAAGGTAGGGAGGGAGATTGAAAATAAAATGCTATATGTTGGATCCGTTAGCTTTTATGGCAAACACCAATGCTCTAATTGCCATTTAAGGCACAGTTAGGTAGAAAGAAAGCTGCTATTTTGGGATGGATTTTAGCCATTTGTCAGTCTTATCTTGTGCTATGAATGATTTATAATGGCTTATAATGACCCATTTAAAAACACATTCAGAATGTGGGACGTTTAATCATATGCCTATATTCTATGTGAAAAATATTCTAAAACCGATTCAAATATGTGCAGTCACAATGATGCTATTGTTTGGCTGAGTGTAAGCTCTGAAGGTCAAGGGGTTTTATAAGGAGAAATTCGTATCAAGTATGTCAAAGATATAAACCAATGTCTCTGAAGAAATTCAAATTTATCATTTTAATTTTCTAAATGCTATCTATACTCTTTCTCCTCTAGGAGTTCTTAGGGATTTTCTCCTAGTAGTTAAACTTCTCTGTATGTATAAAGGCATGATAACACACTATATGCCCAATTCAGAGCCTGGGGATTTGTCATGGAAATTGTGGTAGACGAGCATTGAGTGTAGTGTGTGTATATCTTTAGAAAAACACTCTGCAAACTTTTTTTATAATATATTCACAAGTTTCTTCCACTTCCTTTTCTGCTCATGTCCCAGATAAATATAGTATCATAAATCTCAGCCTCAAACTAAACATGTATTTGGGAAAACATTTACATTTTCTGGTGATTTAGTTTCAAATTACTGTTGGATAAAATTGTGACTTAGAGTATGAATGTTGGAGTCAGGTTTTCTGGGTTTAAATCCTAGCTATACCACAGATATGTATTCTTGACACATATCCAGTAATTTCTGATACTCACTTTCCTTACTGAAAATATGGAGATAAACAGGGTGCCTACTTGACAGGGTTTCTCTGAGGATTAAACAAGTTAATCTTCTTGAAGTACTGTGAACAGTGCCTAAAATATTCAACAAATTATAGATTGAATAATTAATATTATGTTCCAATAAGTTTAAGCCCCAGTATGATGTCCTATTTTTTTAAAAATCTGCCCACATTGTTTAAATGTCTAACACATTTCCACTATTTCAGATCTCTACTTCTCCCATATTGCAATTAGCATGGCCATATGACATTCTTTAACACCAACGAGTTGTCTCCTTATAAACAAGTGTAAATTGCTACATTTCTTTCTTCATTTGTAAATGTCTTATAAACATTTAAACTTTAAGGGTGTTGCGTTGAAATGCCATGTGTTGTCTTGCTTTGATCCAGCACTTTCAATGGAAAGATCTTGCTCCATGTGTTGTATCTGCTGGTCTGAAGTCAAAGCAGCTTGATTCCCTGATCTTGTCTCTGTCTCACCCTCCCGCCCCCAAAAAAACCCAACAAACCACAAAAACGTTTTCTGAAACATCAGTATTTGGGATTGTATTTGATTATGACCAAGGGATGAGTTCTTCCCTTTCTGATTATCTCCTCCCCTCTTCTCAACTCAACGTGGAAGAATTTCTCTGCATAAATTTCGTTTTCTGCAAAAATAGACACCATTTTAATTGGCCCCTTGATGATAGAAGAGATGACAGGTTTGGGCAGGAATGACTTTGCAATGTCCTGTTATTTTAAACTGTTTGCTCAAGTGGTTTTCTGAATGTAAACATCACTAACACGGGTACAGAATGAGAAGAAGAAACTGGTTGACCTCTGGCCATGGCAACCATTCTTTGGTAATTCCTTGTATTTCCCCTTGTGTCTCTCTCGGCTGACTATCTGCAGAGGATCTGCGGGCTCTTATTAGTGTCACTGTGAGCAGTGGTGTGACTGCATTATGTAAAGGTGCTCTGTTTCCTGGGGCTGGGAAGAAGAGTCTTTCTTTTATTACCTTACAGTTCACTGCAACTTGAATTGAAATGGATATGATCAGAATGGCAGTGCCAGATCTTCTGATTACCTAGATAGAAGGGATATTGGCTGACACAGAACCTGGCACCAATGTTCCTTCAATGTGATTGTTCTGGCTAGCAGGAAGCTGAGAACCAACCAGCATGAATTCTCCAGGAGAATTACAGTGAATGATGAGCACTTAGAGATAAATGAAAAGTAAGAAAATCCGTAGCTGATTTAAAAAGAAGCAGAGATGAGCAGCATAGGAGGAGATGGGTGATAGAGAATACTAGTACATGTCTGCTCACCATTGGGGGTAACTGTGGTGACTTTTGGTATGTGTTCTTTGCATGCCTGCCAATTACCTGTGAGTCCTGTATTTGTATGCTCTTTAAGCTAGTTTAGCAGAGGGAAACTATAATGTGTAGGTGTATGACGAGTTTGTGTATCAAGGATACGTATTGTTGATGAGTCTTTGTGGGAAATGCAGAAGGAATTAATCATTCTATTCCCACACACATTGGACCCTTGTGACAAATGTAGTTCTCTCTACACTAGAACATGTGTATGTGACGAGATAGAAGAAGGGGAAACGTTGGGAACAAAGTGTTGCAGGGGTAGATTATATGGTTTAGTTATGGAAACACCAGACATTTCCCTCAGTATGAGTTATTCAATTGAACATGGACCCCATTCAAGAGAATCAATAAACATGAGCCATTGGCTACAAAGCAAGAGTACTAGAAACTGATTTTTGTTAATGAAAGAGCATAATAATAATAATAATAACTAATATTTTGGATGCCATTATGTGTCATGAGCACTATGTAAAAAACATTAGTGAATATTTCATTCAATTCATATATGAGGGATTATAATTCCTCCCATTTCACACATAAGTAAATGCAGGCAGAGAGAGTACAATCATTTCGGCAAGATTACAAAGATAGTAAGTGGTGGATTTAGGATCTGAAGCCTAGAGTATGCAAACTCGTACCTATAAACTATTTTGTGTCTCTGGAAAAATCAGTATTTGGGATTTTATTTGATTGTGACCAAGTAAAAGCTGTAAGATAGAAGGACATTGAAGGGCAGGATGACTAGTATTGGACTTAGCAGTAGAAGAAATTAGACTGGAAAAAGGAAATGGTTTGGGGAAAAGCCAACATACACAGAATGAGCAGATGATTGCTCCAGACCTGCTCACTACCTTCTGAACCAAGTCCAGAGCCTGCAACTGTAGCTAAATTCACAGTGTTATAATGTGGCCCCCAGTGTTGTCCAGTGATGTGTTTGTGTAAAAGAAGCCTAGAAACAAGTGTCTTAAAATCCTGTCATTCATGAAGAGCACAGCATTCCCGTGGCACCATGTGCGCGGCTAACAGAAGACAGCGTGCCTGATGGTGACCAGAGCAAGAGAGCTGTGACGAGCGTGTCTGCAGCGTGTGGTTCCTAGCGTGTTCATCTGGTGTGGATGATGAGAGGGAGTCTGACAGCTTTAGACAAGAGCCTTCCTCCTCGGGGAAGGGAATATTAATTAATGATGATGAAGAGCACTTTGGCTTAATGGACAATGACAGTCCACCCAGCCAAGCGGAAAGGTTTGTGTTGGCAGTCAAGCCACCTGGCCAGCAAATTCAGAATGCCCAGAATGAGTGAGCACATGAGTGAGCCACACTGGGTACCATGACAGACACGGTGTGTGTTTTGTTAAGCACATGGGGTCTTCTCCACGTTATGAGTGTCCTTTCAAAGAGAAAGCTCCATAGTTATGGGCATGGAGCTAATACCCTGATTTCTTAGGGAAAGACTGCCTCATACAATCCAGCACAGGAGGTGGGAAAGAAAAAGGCTTTCCCATCCAGGACATATTTATTACAGGACATGGAACGTGCCACCTAATTATTGAAGGTGATTGTCTCCCTGGGAGAGGAGTGCTGTCTGATCAAGGCACCGGGGGAGGAAAGAACATTTAGATTTTTTTTGGCAATGGGTTCTCGGGTGGCAGAGGCACTCCTGTTCCCGCTGACTATGTCTCTCCTGGATCTTCTCTTCAGAACGGAAACATATCCTATCCTCAAAGACCAAAGAAATCAAGGTCATGAATATGTTCTTTTTCTTGTCACAAGTTTTGATTCATCTTTTTCATTTTCTTCACATGTTGACCCTTTGGATTTGTAATTTCAGTCAGAGTCAGAGAGGGTGGGAGGAAGTATCTGAGCATCAGAGGCGGAAAAGAGCGAAAGCTTTGGTGCAAGAATCTTCCCAACTTAGCCTCCACATGCAACATATGAAAGATTGGGACCGGAAAGGACCCTATGGTGGTAACTATGAAAAGTAAAAGGAGATAACTGGGTTCTTCCATTAAAACACCAAAGAAATCCAAGCCCTGCATATTCTAACTCTCAAAAAAGGTCTCTTGAATGAATATATAATTGTTTAGACACCCTGGGTACTATGACCCCAGTACTTATAAGAACGCATGATAAATAGAAGCTCAAAAATATTTACTGAGCAACTACTGAGTAAATGTACTACTGAATGAATAAAACGCAGCTTCCTGTAAGTGTGATATCCATAGGTGGTATTTCCCTCTGAATGCTCTGGGTTGAGAGAGAAGTTGGAGGAAATAGTACAGAAGCGTATGGGTTCTAGAGTTAGACAGACTGACTTGGAGTCCAGTTCTAAGGTTCCCTAGGGGATGACTTCAGACAAGTGATTGGCCACATCTGAACATTGGTTTTCTCCTCTGTAAAATGAGGATAACATTGACTCCGCCACTTAGAATGCATGGGCAGATGGATGCTCATGCTTGCAAAACCTTGCATGTAATGCCTAACATTTCATAAGTGCTTATTAAACCTGGGGTGCTGGTATTGTGATTATAGCTTCCAATGCAGAATTTTTATTACCTGTTACATTAAAAACAAAACCAGGACTTGCAGACAAGTCCAAAGAAGCAAACAATAAAAACATACCTCGAATGGGACTTCCATGGAGCAATGCCCTGGCCGCAGGGGGGAGATAAGCAGACCCTCTCCAGCTCTATCCCCTCTTGTCACACACTCCCTGCGCTTTGCCAGGTTTTTATTCCTCAAGATAAACCTGAAGGCCAAGCTGCCAGAGATGAGTTACAAAGCACAGCTCTCAGCTCAATGGCCTTTGGTAATGCCAAGCAGTTGGGGGCCAATAAAGTCACCACTTCTGCTAAGCAAATGAACCAGCTGCTAAATGTACGGAGCCCTGCTCTGACCAAAAGAGGAGGAGCAGTGCAGGAAGGGGAATGGGCAATGAAACTCCTGGGAGAGCCAATATTTCTATCCCCTCTGTACCTATGGTCACCTCCTAGCGTGTCTGATGGGTAAGACAGTGCCATTTCTCATGTATGGGTTTCCCTGAGGAGGGAAGACCAGTGCGACTTTGTGAAAATTCTGATATGTGAAATTTAATTTTTAAAGAACTGGCAGTTTAGCTGTATTGAAATATGTAGCAGCCTCCAGAACATATGCAAAACCAATGTGGGTTTCCCTGGTGAGTCACCCTCCAGGAGCTGGTATAGTGAGTGAATAACTAAATGCAATTTGTAATTCACATGCCATTGTTGGGAGGTCAGTGCTCCTGGAGTGCAGGCCTCTCACACTGTGGAGGATCAAGAAACTGCTCCAGCTGCTGCTGATTGCCCCCAGTGAGGCTTGCTGCCCTAAGTAGTTCAAAGCATTCCTACCAGGCACTCATTTCTACGATTTACTTGCTTAACACACTTGTCTTCCAAAAGTGTATGAAGTTGGCCCAACTCTACATTACCCCAGATGCCAGATCAGCAGGTACAAACTAATGAGGTTTGAATGCGTCAAAAGCAAAGGCAAGCCCTGGATCCTCTATTGATTGAAACCCAGCCTCTTTGAACAGACAAATTCAGAGCTGTAGTTGTTGGAAGATCAGTGGAAGTCAGAAAATCCGGGTGTGAGTGAACCCCAGCTCTGTTATCTTAAACAATTGATTTTTGTTTACACCTCAGTTTCCCCATCCATAGAATGGGTATAATAGCTGTGGTGGCAGGTTTGCAGTGAACATCGAAGGTTTTTTATATATAAAGTACTGAGCATACTTCTTGGTGCATGGCAAGGATCAATGCTGTTGTACTTGTCTGCCTAAAACCTTTATAAGATAATATAAAGGGGCTGAGTTAAATGAAATGGGCTCAGATATGCCCGTGAGCTTATTCACTTCATCCCTGTCTGTGCAACAGAAAGCCAGTTAATCTCAGTTTGTTTCCTCATCCTCAAAATGTGAGTAATGATAACTGTATCATGTGCTTACTGTGAGAGTTAAGTGAGGTCACCTATGCATAGTGTTGGAATGCACCATTTAACATATCTCAGACCCTTTCCTCACTGCCCTCCAGTTTTCCTGGGTTGTCATAATTCCAAGCAGAGCAAAATATGCATGAATGTGTTTAATAAACACAAAAACACCCAAAGATAGAATGCATCCTTCATAATTTGTTAGAGCACAGTTTGGGCAACTTACCAATTGTTACCTCTTTCATAACTTATAGAACAGAGAAGGCATATTTTCAGAGCCAGCTAATTCATAAGGACTGTTTATAGTGGGAACAATAGTATTATGGGCATGGAGGAGGGATTAGTCAACAATTTAGGGGGGTTATTACTTCTTTAAATTTAAGAGCAGTTATCTTTTGCTCAATGTATTTTGGTGGCTTAGTAGAGCAATCTCTTACAGGGGAAAAAATAGTAATTGGATCATTAGCTTTCACTGACCTCTTTTAATCGCCCACAGCTCTAGAGAGCACCATGATTTAGATAGTTCTTAAGAGCACGGGCTGTGAAGACATAGCGTTGTGGGTTGAAATCCCAGCCACTTACTAGCCTGTGTACCCACTGTTTCCTTTGGCTGTGTGACCTTGGGCAAGTCACTTAACCTGGATAAGCCTCAGTTTCCCCATGTGTAACATAGAATAGGTGATAATTACCCAAGAGAACTGTTACAAGATTTAAATGAAATAACATATTTAAGACTGTGGGTGCTGAGGGTAACATAAAATAAAATAGCCTCTATTTATTTATCATTTATTGAATAGCAAAACTGAAAGCACCAGAGTTTATCTCTAGGCAACGGCAAGCTACTACCAACCTACCTTAGGGGCCATAAAAATTCTCTATCACAGTTGCATTAGGCCCCCCATACCATAGGGCAGTGATGGCGAACCTTTTGAGATCGGCGTGTCAGCATTTTGAAAAACCCTAACTTAACTCTGGTGCCGTGTCACATATAGAAATTTTTTTGATATTTGCAACCATAGTAAAACAAAGACTTATATTTTTGATATTTATTTTATATATTTAAATGCCATTTAACAAAGAAAAATCAACCAAAAAAATGAGTTCGCGTGTCACCTCTGACACGCGTGTCATAGGTTCCTTGTCATTCAATAAAAATGACAGGTCTGTTGCTTTCTGCCTCACTGTCCAGGGAGTCATTATACTTAATCATCACCCCCTCCTTCTACCATCCTCACCCCCTCTTCCCTCCAAGACAAGTGCTCACTGCTGAATTAAACAGTCTGCCTCTGTTCTTTTAAGTAAACAAAGACATCCCTTCTCAAGTCGATGTATTTTTCAGCCATGTCCATTTTTCCCAGGTAGCAGGGATAAAGGGGATGTTCTTGGCTAACAAGAAGATTGACAACCAAGTGAAGACGTTTATCACCTATAACAAAGGCAGAGACTGGCATTTGCTGCAGGCGCCGGACACGGATTTAAGGGGGGACCCTGTGCACTGCTTACTGGTGAGTCTTCATATTGGGGCAGAATGTCCCAGTCAGTGGGGGCTGGGAATAGGTGTTAACAAATAGAGCGAGGTGATTCCAGGGTTCCTTGCTTTGTTGCAGAACCAAAGGGGACAGGGACAGGCATGAAGGCAGCATGTAGAAGAGTCACTGGACTGCCTTTTGAGATGGAACAAAGAGATCAGAGAAAAGCAGAAAGTTTCTTACTCACTTCCAAGGATGTTCAGTTGTGCCCCGAATTCTGATGAGGAGCTCACATTGTAGTTTAAGGGAGAATCTGATAGCTTCCACTGTGGTGGGGAGATACACCTTTAATTTCCTACGAATAACTTGTTACAGATCAAATGACATACATTCTGCTGTAGAATAGATGAACTGAATGCAAAATTTTTTAGTTGTATTTTCTAGAGGAGATGCTTATTCATATTTTCAGAGGAGTTTATGCCTCAAACACGGGTAAGAACTACTGATGTGAATTTTAATTGGAACTCTTTATGATATGTTCCATTCATTTATGCTGCATTATATAAAGTTGGTAGTGGCAAACAATGGTCTGTGAGGCAAATATGGCCCACCACTTGTTTTTTAAAATAAATTTTTATTCTTATTCATGTATATATTGCCTGTGTGCTACAGTGGCTGAATTGAGTAGTCATATCAGGACTTTATGGTCCACCAACCCTAATATATTTATTATTTTAAAAATATTTAAAGAATGTTTGCTGACCCCCACTTTGAAGTATGGCTCTCTCTTAATTATCTAACATTTGGGGAATAAATAGATCATTATGAACTTATTTATAATTTGATTATATGTTGGGGTCTGAGAGAGGGATCAAAAATGGGTGTTGCCTCCACAGAGTGTGAGGTCTACTTGAAAGGGACTAGACTAATAAATGAAAGATTATAGGGTTACATTTCACTCCCTCACTGATGCTGGTGCCTGCCCCATACTTCACCCAGGAGTGGATACTGAGTGAATGAAGAAGGAGGGGAAGAAGAGATTATTTTCAAAACAAAGTATAATCAAATGCTAACGACTTTAAAACAATCCAGAAGTTGTATTTATATTCACAAAAAAAGAGAGACTAGTATGTTAAGCTGGAGGAAAGACCTTTTAGTTTTAGTAAGAGCTTGGAAGGGGGGGGGTAGAGAGAGAGAGAGAGAGAGAGAGAATGAATGAATATGAATGAATCAGTATTCACAGTCATCATACAATTCTGACTTTAGAGATATCCACACTCAGCTTGCTTTTTGTGTCCCATGAAGTCGGAACAGTCACTTTGCAGGTTCATCTCCTGTGGCTGTAGGCAGGTCGCCTCCTACTCGAGAAGATGCCAGCAGCCATAGGGTGACCTTATTAGTTGCAGAGGATATCACGGTTGTCACTGTGCATCAGGAAAGCGGGCTGCAATTCAGCCTCCCACTCAGCTTCTATCCTGATAACTGGCAACTTACGGAGGGAGTGGGGAGCCAGTTGTTACAGAGAGTGCACAAAGCCAGTGACAGTAAGTAAACGGGGCAGTTATTACTGCATATCTTCTCTATGCGAGGCATAGTTCAGCAGCATTCCTAGTTTAACTATGGCCACCTTCCTAGTTTAACTATGGCAAGTTGGAGCACAGTAAGTAAACAGGGCAGTTATTATTGAATATCTTCCCTATGCGAGGCATAGTTCAGCAGCATTTTGAAAAACAGGGCCACCTTCCTAGTTTAACTATGGCAAGTTGGAGCACCCTGATATTTTGCCCAAGGCGCATGGCCTGCACCATTGCCTTAATGTGGTCCTCTCTCCTTTCGTGCATGTTGGAGATTAAATGTCCATGAGAGAATTAGCCATATCATATGAAGAGGCTTCCCTGGGTCCTCTGGTGTCATAAATGAACCATTAGAAATGCCTCTTCCACAAAGCACTTGGCAAGGTGTTTCCTGCTCCACCCCATCCCAGTGTTAGGGAGTCCTATTGCTCTGCCCCCCAAATCTAAATGCTGAGACCATCCTCAGACAAGCCATCATGATTTCTACTCCCCCTACAGTGACAGGCTCCTAACTGCTCCTCCTGTCTCTACTTGGCAATCTCCTGTGTGAGTGTGTGTGTGTGTTTAATCAATCCAACTTTATTGAGTTAAAACATACATACATAAAAAGTACCCTTCTAAGAGTGTACTTTGATGAATCTTGACAAATTATATACCCATGTAACCATTACCACATCAAGATAGAACATTTTCATAACCTCCCCAAATTCATTTGTTTCACTTTGCAATCACTATCCACACCTCTGGCCCTAGGCAGCCACTAACCTCTCTCTTTTATGGTAGGGTTTTCTTTCCTACATTTTGTGTAAGTGGGATCAACTTGAGCTTGAAACATTCAGATCCCACTTTGCAATCACTATCCACACCTCTGGCCCTAGACAGCCACTAACCTATCTCTTTTATGGTAGGGTTTTCTTTCCTACATTTTTATGTAAGTGGGATCAACTTGAGCTTGAAACATTCAGATCATGTCTCTCTTTTACTTAAACCTTTTATGACTAATTTAGGTCAAATGAAATGCAAATACTTTCCCTTAGCAAGTATTCCCTCCAAGGTCCCATATAGTCTGGCCTCTGGCTACTTCTCCTGCCTGGTCCTAGGCCTCTCTCCCCTTCCTTCCTAACACAGAAACCATGGTGGGGAGGAACTTACCTGTTCCCCTACCATTAACTTGCCATGCTCATTCATGTCTCAGACTGTTAATTTATCATTATTTTTCTCAAAATGCCCTTTTCCTAGTCTGGCCTTTTTCTTTTTTCCTTATTTTTTTGAATATATTTTTCTTGATTTCAGAGAGGAAGGGAGAAAGAGAGACAGAAACATCAATGATGAGAGAGAATCATCGATCGGCTGCCTCCTGCATGCCCCCCACTGGGGATCAAGCCCGCAACCCAGGCCATGTGCCCTTGACCAGACTAGAACCCGGGACCCTTCAGTTCACAGGCTGACGCTCTATCCACTGAGCCAAATCGGCTAGGGCCTGGCTTTTTCTTAAAATTCAGATCCTTGATTGACTACCTTTGTTCAGAGAGTACACTTAAACTTTTTCTCAAGTTGTATTTGTCCCAGCTCCTTTTCATGTATGAGCCTTCTCACTCTTTGAAATCAGCACGTGTAATTGCCCATGTTCCCCTGCTAACATGTGAGCTTCCTAAGCCGAGGAACTGTTGCTCTCTTTTTGGCCACGCCAAGAAGCAGCTCAAGAATCAGACCTGCCGTAATGTAGGTGCTCAACACAGGTGTTGTTGTGGCAGGCGTTGTGTTTGTTTGAAGCAGAGGCTCCATTGACCGTGTTGTTGAGGTTTACGATTGAACTTTAGTGGATGCCCTCCCTTTCCACTGAGAGTCATGGAAGGATTTATAATAATTGCCACCTTCTGAAGCTCCTGGGCTCACCTTGACCCCAGAGGTGACAAAATCAGCAGGCTCATTAAGACAGATGAACTAGTAGGATAGGGATGGACAGTGCCCAGGAGTCTTTTGGCCTCCCTCCCTCATTAACCCTGTTGTTTAATGTCTTTTTAACCTGAGTTTTAGAAAACAGGCAGCAGGGTGAGGAGGGGAAATGACAAAGGGGGTGGGGAGGACAGGCCAAAATCATTTTATAAAAACCTGGCAGAGGCACAAAATTGGAAAGAAAATCTGTAAGCTACGGGAGACCCGGACGGTTAAAAATCTTCTTTCGGCTTGGGAGCTGCTGGAGATAAGAAGTGATTTTGAATTGTGAGTACTTGGAAAGTGACAGTGTCACCAAAAGCACAGCCTAGTGATTAGAAGAGAGATTTTCCAGCAGGGCTGTTAGAAATGTGGAACAAGTTCAGAATTACAGCCCCAAAAGGAATGTTCCTGCTAAAATGTACTCTATAGAAATAAGACATCCAGGGTAATTTATGGCTGTATTTTTAGGACTTTCAGACTGATTGCCTGGAGGGCTCAGCTGGGATTTCCTTCCTCTGAAGACTGGGTAGCACAATTAGATGGGGTATTACAGGTCACGGTCTACCTGGCTCCAAAGCCTCAAGATTTGGCTCCTGGGAGGCAAGATGTGAGTCGAGCCTGTGACAAATCCTTGAGCCCCCAGGGGAAGCCTAGTGTTTCATGGAGAGAGACTATGATTTCTCTATGGATTCTCAGAAACAATAAGTGTGTGTGTGTGGGGGGGGGGGGGGATTTGGAGGCTATTATTTGGGAATTTACTTGATGCCTTATTATTTATGAAACCTCGAATCTGGGTTTTCAGGACAATCCTCGGATTAGGATCCGCAGGGATAATGGTACCACGAAGATGAGACCTAAAGGTTATTAATACAGAGGTTTCAGGGAAAGAGGAAGTATACCCAGCCAGTTGGTCCAGGGGCCTCGCTCTTCTTTGCCATTGACCCTCTTCTTTACTGAAGATCTAATGGATTCCCAGCTCCAGCTCAAAGTCAGAAACAATAAGTGTGTGTGTGTGGGGGGGGGGGGGGATTTGGAGGCTATAATTTGGGAATTTATTTGCTGCCTTATTATTTATGAAACCTCGGATCTGAGTTTTCAGGACAATCCTCGGATTAGGATCCCCAGGGATAATGGTACCACGAAGATGAGACCTAAAGGTTATTAATACAGAGGTTTCAGGGAAAGAGGAAGTGGAATGAGAAGTTGGTTGATCCTCAAGTAATCTAACCATTTTTTGAGTTGCTTTATTGCATGGTGGGGAAATATCTTCTATCATTTAGTAATTCTGCATTGGCCATTCACAGTGCTAGGAAGACAGATCAGTTAAATGCTACAGATATTTACTGAATGCTTGCAATGGCCAAAGGAGTTTTATTTGCTAAAATAAGACATAAAAGAATAAGATGAAAGAAAGGTAATTGGGACCTGGAAGTCCACCATGGACTTCAGGAGTTTGTGCACTCTCTGAAATCGGATATAAAATTCTGTGTGCCCTTTTTCTTGGGAAAGAGTCCGTCATTGGCATCAGGCTCTCAAACTCTGTATCTGACCCTGCAAAGATTACAGATTAAGGATCCAGCTGCTCTTAGAATTGATTGATGATATTTCATGCCCTGTGACTATGCAGAGACATATCAAAGGGCAGCATCCACACATGTATGCTGGTCCCTCCATTCCCTGTAAGTCAGGTGCTAAGTTATGGTCGTTTTAGTGCACAGTTCTATATTGTCCTAATGTGAAAGAATAAGAAAAAGAGAGAAGTGCCTTTGGGATAAGCTGTGTTTTTTGATGCCACTGAATTGGAGATAACTCTGGAGAGATACTCACGTATGTGGTACTTGTGTGCTAATGGGGGAAAAGAAGGCAGGAAGGCAGAAAGGAAAGAAGAGAGATGTGGACAGAGTGTCCCCTATCTGGGCAAAAAGTACAGAAGAATCAGAGAACTGTGTTCTGTCCTTCAGGAGTCTGGAGTGGCTCGATAGCCATTATAATAAACCTCTCTACTAAGCTTTAGTGACTTAACTTTGACAAATGTCCAAAACCAGCCAGGTATAAACGTTTAAGTTTAAACATGTGAAGATGAATCACTTACCATTGTTTTTCATCGAACATTGATGTAGACTATCTAACTTCCTTGAAAAAAAATGGGAGAAATAAAATAAAGCCACGGAATATTCTCCTCATACCAGCTGGGGGCAATCCAGTACTACAAATGTGAACACGGAGAAAAAGTGCACCAGAGAGATCATTTCTAATGTTGCCGCTACTGCATGAACTGCTGTCTTTTCTTCTCAAAATAACTTCTCTTGGGCTCTGAAAGCCATAGCCACGGGCTGTGCTGATATGGTCATTTGGAAATGCACTCTTTCCTTTGCAATGGCAAGTCCCCATAGCAAAGGAACCGTGGGTCCCGTGGCAACTGAGCTTCACAACCTTCCAGACCGTTGAGTGATGAAGTTTGTGGCAAGTGGCCGCTCAAGATTGCAAGCTGGGTGCTCCCTTGTCCAAGGATGTTCCGCCTTGTTGGGTGGTTCAGAGGTGCTCCATTCAACCCATTTACCTATGCGTTTCCCAAGGAGTGATGCGGTTCTAATGCCACGGAGATGCTCATATGACTCTGATGTGTGGTTTACAGATAAGCCTGGGTACTTCTGGCATTGTTCTGAGTAAAATAGTGGTATCGTTCACTTCCTAACATAAAAGCATTGCTTGTTACTTCACACTTTCATTTTTGATTCTAGGCTAGGTTTCACAGATGATGCAGTGGAGTACTTGACATTTTCTCTTTATTTGCAGAGTGTATCTCTTGGGGGCATAGAACCATATGTGAGGTATGTGAGGTACAGGATGGTGCCTAGTAAAATAAAGTGTTGTAGACCAGAGAAGGGAGATCCTGATAAGCTGCCGTTGTCAGCAAAACTTCCTTGGAAAAAGAGTCTGACACCTCTGCTTTATCCTGTTTGAGCACCTGAGAGCTGTGCAGTGTTCCTGGGACCTTGGCAATATAACAATACCCATTCTGGTCTTCCTCTTGGATGAAAGGGAGCCAAGTGTTTGGGTCTGATTATTTCTTCTTATAGAGGGGAATCTTATTTACTCTTTTGGAACATTATAAATTAAAAAATTTCTTTTTTTGAAAGCTTTACGTGAAATTTTCATGTAAAACTGAAAATATATTACTATTGTCATTCCTTGAGAGTTTACTCTCTCTGTCAGTGGAAGAAAAAGACGCTATTGTGGTCCACTGTTTTAGTTCACCAGTATTTTGGTTGCTTTTATTCCTGAGTTTCATTTTTAGTTTGTCATTTTACCCTATCTGATATAAATTTAATCACTGCCTCTCTAGCTCTCTGAGTATCTGCTGGTTTCGACTTAGAGAGCAGAATCAAAGTAATAACAGAGATACATTGGTGATTCCAGAAACTCGAGTGGATAAGATTAAAAAGTAATCTTCCTCAGCGATGAAAAGAAGTGTGGATTCAGACACAAATTCTTAGTTTTTGACAACTCAGTACAAGAACTATTCCAAATGAAACTTGTATAAGATTTATTATCAAAACCGGTGATATATTAATCAGAAAATTTGATCAAGATTTTCACACACAAATAAACAAGTCTCTTAAATTTTCATTGAAATTGCTGTTATTGGTACATTTTGCCTACAAGGATGACTTTTCTATTGAATAATACTGATTCTGATAATACCCTGTTGATTAAGTCTCTTAAATTTCATTGAAATTGCTGTTATTGTACATTTTGCCTATAAGGATGACGTTCCTATTGAATAATACTGATTCTGATAATACCCTGTTGATTGTCTGTTGGATGTTAGGATAGTCTCACACATCATACAGTTTCTTTTGTACAACTGAGACCAAGTTCTCACATGGAGAGTGGCTAAGAGATCCCGGCTGACTTCTTAACAGCTCTCCCAGCCTCACCAAACCTTTTTTCCTGACATCATGTCCTATTTCTCCTCTTTAGTATGACTATATACTGTATTGTAACTCAAATCTTCTGTGTGTTTTTCTTTGTGGTTGGTGTTACTCAGGGCTCAAATGTCCTTTATTCTGAACATCTTACCTACCTACCCATTCCTAACCTGCCCATCTTTGCCCAAGGCACCATTTTCTCCTTGGAGCCTTCCTGATCAAAAGTTGGACATCATTTTGTCACCCTGTAGAATCTCATATTTTATCTGTACTGATCTTATGGTATTAAAATATTTTCTATTTATGTTAATCAATCAAAAGATCTTAAATTATACACTCCCTGATAGTCAAGACCAAATTTGAGTCAATGTAACTCTTTCATAAGCTACACCTAGCCTTTTACAGATAAAATGCTCAAATGTTCTGGTAAATGCTCAAATGGCAATGAAGGCAGTCAGTTCAATTTAAAATGAAGAGGCCTTCCCTCACCAGCTTGGCAGCCATCTTATGCTTAGTGGACACTAGGTATTTGTGGAATGAAAACAGGTGAATGAAAGGGTACATGAATGGATGCATAGATGGGATGGTTTGATGATTGGATAGATGCTATGAACATGAGATTGAAATGACTATTTAGATTGTGTGCTTTCATGACACTCATTTTTCCTCTTCTCAGCCTTACTGCTCACTACACCTTCACCTTAAGGTCTCTGAGAATCCCTACACATCAGGGATCATTGCCAGCCGAGAGACAGCTCCCAGCATCATAGTGGCGTCAGGTAAGAAGCTGACCTGGTTTGCTTGCTGCTGTAAATTGTGTTTATTTTAAGAAGCTAGATATCTCTGCTAGGAACTTCATGAGCAAGCTAAAGATATTTTTTGAATTGCACCTAAACTATTGACCCTGAATCAAGTATGCTGAAAAACGCTGCTCAGATATGTTTGCAATCTCAGTCCATCTCAGGCGATGCAGACTGCCCATGTGGCTCATTGTTAGCTTGTGCAGAAAGTTCCGTCCGCTCATGGCTCTGTGCTCTTTCTAGGTAACATAGGTTCTGAATTGTCAGACAACGACATCAGCATGTTTGTCTCTTCAGATGCAGGGAACACTTGGAGGCAGGTAAGAAAGCGTGCTGGGTCAAGTTGCTGAAGTCTAACTGACATTAAATTTGCTCAGTTTGATTCCATTCTGGGAACTTATTCTCCTACACATAATAACTTATTTAACTACATATAAATCCTACAGCTTGCCAATGCATTTATTTAGTCTTAAGTCTTTGAGGTTAGTGAATCTTTTTGCAATTTGATTTTTTTCTTGTCATTCAATAAAAATGACCCATTTGCAGAGCCTTTATAGAAGAAAGTTTATAAGGGACAGTGAAACCAAATTAGATCTGACTGAATTTTTCCCATAAAAGAAAACCAGAACCCTAAAGTTTATCATATAGGGAACATGGCACCTAGAAGGTAGATTATATACCTAATGCTAGGTTATCTCCATAAATTCCCCGTGCCTTGAAGTCAGAATAGAGAGCAATGCAGTGATATAGAAATAGCAATTACCCAGGTGGTGTTCTGAGATGTTTAAATCTCATGAGCAAAAGACAGAGTAATAACCATCACCGTGCATATGCTAGGGAAAGTAGAAATGGAATCACTTTAAACCAATGTGTTTAGCTTAAATGCTTCCTCTCTTTCTTCTGAATGAAAATTAGATACCCATAGCTTATAAAACAGGCATTTAATGAGCTTTCGCAATCATAACAAGATATGTGCCTAATGCATGGTTGTTACCCTTCAATAAATATGTTTTAATAACCCACTGACATTTAATTATCATACAATAACTAGCACCGTAAATTGAAATTTAATGCACAGGTAATCACAGAGCAATGAGAACAACTCTGCTTTATATTTTAGTCAGAGATCTCCATGCTATGGTCCAATTGCTATTTCCTAATTCCAGGCCCCTAATAAGTCCTCAGTGGGATTCACATGTTGTGAGAAGGGCAGGGCAAGAAAGAAATTTGCCTAAAAACCTCAGGGCTCTTGATCTTCGAGGCAATGAGCACTGTTAATTTTCCTCTAGAGAATAGTTAGAGAGCCAGGATCCCTTTTGTTTTCCTTCCAACACCCCCCAAAAAGCAAAATAAGTCTCTACTTCTATCGTCCTTGGATAGGATATACCTTCATATGGGCATAAGAAGTAAATAAAGGAGACTTGACTTGGGGTGGTGAACACACAATACAATACAGATGATCTATTATGGAATTGTACACTTGAAACCTATATAATTTTATTAACCAGTGTCACCCCAATGAATTTGATAAACATTTTAAAAATTTCAAAAAAGAAGTAAAGGGGAAGAATATTATGTCTATAGTGTAACCACAGACAGAGCTATATAACAGTGTGACTGTGAGAAGCCAGCATGCATCTTATATAGAGAGGACTTAGAAATTGTTTTCACCCTGTTTCCATTTTACTTCACATTGGTTTCTCCGCGTTTAGAAAAAGATCCAATGGCACATGTACCCAAATATGATGATTCCATTTTCATCAGAGCTACTTTATAACTTGGTAGAGAACCTATTAATTGAACAAGAGCACCTTTTTTCTAGAATACTTGGAAAGTTTGAAAGAACTGTATCTGGAAGGTCACTGTAATGCTGCAAGCTCCAGCTCCATCAGTCACTACATACATGCTCGTAGGCAAGTTTCGACATCTCTCTCAACCTTAGTGACCTCGTATATAAGCATGAGAATGTGAGATTAAAGTATCTCTAAGGTTTCTTCTACCTTAGAATGTTACCCAATATAAGTTATCCAATATTCTGACATGATTATCAATGGGGATCAAAGAACATGCCACAAAATAAGATCAGAATATAAACATAAATACATACCTATTCTTTACATTTGTTTTGTGGTGCACCTAAAACAATTCTATGTAACTCCAGGGGTACATGTAGCCCATCTTGTGAAGCAATGTTCATTATTGTGTCTTCCCAAAGATTTGGGGAAACCTTGTTCAATCAGGAGAGGGATTATTTTTTCTACTCATGTGAGGACGAATTATTGGAACTCTGGATGTGTGTGGACATGGATGTGTGTCCATGTGGATGTGGTTTCCTCTTCCAGATCTTTGAAGAAGAGCACAGTGTCCTGTATCTGGATCAAGGTGGAGTCTTAGTTGCTATGAAGCACACGTCTCTTCCAATTCGACATCTCTGGTAAAGGCACCTGTTGCCCATGAGTCATACTCCTTGCGGTTCCTCACTGTGAAGGCTAGGAGTCAGGCTATCAGACTGTGATCATGTTTATTGTAAAATGTCAAGGTCTACTAGAACATAATTTACACCTTTGCTCTTTTAAAATAAGATTGTGGCCTGTTGGAGAAGGAAAGGACATAGGGAGGGGAGGAGGAAGGGTACAGGGAGGGAGGGAGGGAAGGAGGATGAGCTCTGCCCCTGAGAGAGGAATTACATTATAGTTTTTAAATGTGACAATACCCTCCCCAGTGCCTTACCCTTTTAGCACAATTGTGGATAGAATGCTGCGCCAGGCATAATCTCTGAGTAGCTTCACTCCTTTCCCAAATAATGCCTCCTCATTACCAGTATGTGTGTTCTGCACAGAGATCAGGATACTGTTGCTGATTGTACTTCCTTAGTTTCCCGTTTGGGGGTGACATTCTGCAACTCTAGCTGTAGGTCTTCTGCAGATGGATGTGCAAGTCCTAACTTCCAGAGGGGTTTCCAACAGACTCCTTCATGTGTGTTTTTGAAAGTGATTCTCTCCACATTCGAGCTTGTTCCAAGTCAAAAGCCTGATTTCCCTCCTCTGGTAGCTACTCTGGTGACCGAAGGGAAAGCTGCAGAAATAAGAGAAACAGAGGCTTAGCCTGGTGGAAGGCATCCATAGGGAAGGGCAGAGCAAAAGAAACATCCTGTGTGACCCTCAGAGTTGCAGACTTCTCTCCTCTTGCTATCAAGAGTCTGTCCTTCTGCACCCATTCATTCACTCAGTGAGTCAACCAGGATTTATAACGATGTAAGAGAGATGCTGTAAGGCTCTGATCACTTGGAGGCGGCTGGCTCAAGTCCATCTAAATAGGTCCCCTATGGCCATTGCTCTTCAGAATCACCTGAAAGGCTGGCTACTAAAGTACCCTGAGGTTTTGGAGAGAGTCACATTGAGATCTAAGATCTAATAAAATATCCAAATTTAAAAACGGATTCTATCAAAGACTCATTATTATTCTCATTTCATGCAGCTCTCTGCTTGTTAATGTAATAATACACCCGGGTCCCAAATCGCTGGGCTAACTGTATTTCTACCTTCTCGTGTAATTAAGGACACTTATTCAAGGCTCACTTTGACAATGCCTTAGGCACTTTTCAAATGGATTCTCTCCTGGTTGGTAGTATCTTTCTTTAGAAAGGATTTTTATTTTTCCTTTGGAGATCTGAGGACTGTAATTGTTTTTTTTTTTCTTCTGTCATTAGGTTGAGTTTTGATGAAGGGAGATCTTGGAGCAAATACAGTTTCACATCTATTCCCCTTTTTGTGGATGGGGTTCTGGGTGAGCCTGGGGAAGAGACTCTAATCATGACGTAAGTGGAACACGTCTTGATATTCATCCAGAAACGTGTTTTTTAGCTGTTTGTTCGCTTTGCTGCTGTTAGGTTTGGAGTTGCCAGCAAAGTCCGTACATGTGATTTCATGATTCCCCCGTAAAGAGGAAAGAAAAGTACGGGCACCAGTTTCCTGGCTTTTACTAATTATGGGGAGTCCCACACTGAGGGTGGGTGACAAACTACCTCATTTCTTCCCCTCCTGAATGGGCTGAGGGGAATTAGAAGAGATCATTGCAGTAGAAAAGAAAGCTATGCATTTAAAACTTTAATAATAAACAAATTCAATATATAGAAAGACATGGGCATATAAGGAATGGTTTCACTTTAAGGCAGAACTCAGAGCTTGAGCAAAACCCCACGCAGGCTTTTCTTTTTCCCTGGCTCTTTACCTAACCCAATTGTGAGGCATATTAGGGAAACCCTGAGAACAATCTGTTCTTGGGAAATTGCATTTGCACTCATTCTTGTCTGGAAAGAGATGATCATTAATTTGTGAAAGACTTGATTAATGACTTGCCTGCCTGTGGGGTTCAAAACATTGGCTTTGAATTTAAAATATGAAACTGCGCCTTTTCCTTTCCCTAGAAAATTGGACATAGGAAACAGAGGGAAGGTTTTAAAGTAGTTGATCCTGTCGGACATGACAATGTAAAAATCAAAGTGATGAGTTGGTATATTTTCTAAATATTCTGTCCCCTTTTCTTTTTATTTTTTTAATGATAGAAAATCAATCAATCAATATTTAATATGCCTAATAGCTACACTTTTGGCCATGGTAAACATGGCTAGATTAGCAATGTATTCCATAATTTGTGTTCATTTAATTTTTATATTTGCAAAACAGATAAAAGATGCTGACCACAAAGGCTGCTTTGTGGTTTTTATCCTTATCTGCGATTAGTGATTCAAACACCTCATTAAATACCTGTGTCTTTTCAGTAAGCAGAGTAGAATGCACAGTGTAGGAAGCAGTTGTAAGCACTTGGCCTTGGCGCCCACTTTCCCTAGCGACTGGTAGGAAACTAAATAGCATGAAAATCATGTACATTAGCAAGACAGCCTAGAAGTGCAACCTAGGACCATGTAGAAAGCAGTATCTGTGATTGTTTTCTCCATTATTGGTTGGTTGGTTGGTTGATTGATTGATTGATTTTTTTGTTAACCATTCTCTGGTACGATATATAGAAGTGGTCTTTTACGCTAAACAATCTACATCCTGATCACCTACTTCTTTAGTGATTTGACATTGGTTTTTACAAATGAACACAACTCTTTGAGCCTCCACATTACCCATAGGTGAAGTGGGGCCAATAATAGTCACCCCCTTTATAAATGCGTTTTGAGGATTAAGTGGTATGATCAATGTAATGTACTTATTAGCATTTTGCTAAGTTCATAATAGACACTGGGCAAATGCTAGCTGTTGTTATAACTATTGGCATTTTTATTATTGCAATTATCTTTATCTTTATGAACTCTGTAGAGTGTTCGGACACTTCAGCCACCGCTCTGAATGGCAGCTGGTCAAAGTGGACTACAAGTCCATTTTTGATAGAAGGTGTGCCGAGGAGGACTACAGACCTTGGCAGCTGCACAGCCAGGTAGGAGGGAGAGAGCAGAGGGTAGATGCTGAGCGAAAGGCATGGGGAGTATTGGGGACAAGCTAGTCATTCAAGTATAGGAATTGGGGTTCCCTAAGCCAGAATGCTCCTCTTGTGCTTTCTTACGTGTTTTGTGTTCCACAGCAGTGAGCAAACTCTACATTTTATAGCTTGTTGTGAAGTAATTTCTGTTTTTATTGTACTGGGATATAATGAGATAAAATTCAAATGTGCTTGGCTTAGACTTACAACTCAAAATGAAATACCAACTCAGCATGGGCATCTAAACCTAATTTATCTGAGCATGTCATATGGATGCAGGGTGGAGGCTGGGGTGAGCAAAGGGTCTTGAATTTGATCTGGCAAAGCAACCAGAGACATAAAATAACAAGCTTATGCTCTGTGAGCAATGCCAGGAGAGTCCTTCCTCCCCACTCCTGTGACTCCCTGGGATCAGGTACTGATTCTCGCCTCTTCCAGGGTACTCATGGTACAGAATGCAGAATTGTTAATAGGAACCTTTCCTTCATCCTGGCCCCTCAGCTATTTAGCTCATATCAGAATGCTTGTCTGAAAGTCTCTCTCCTTTGAGTTCCCAAGCCAGACGGCATCCAGGGCCCTGAAAGGATGGTCCATTGCAAAGCCATCACCATATTCAGGAAATAACACATCGTTTACCCCCAGCCTAGACTGTGATATATTTACATGTATGTGTGGAGTGGAGCCAGTTAAAGTGAGTTTTCTAAGAGAGACAGATTGTAGTAGCTGAGACAGACAGAGCTGTGCTCCGGTCCTTCAGACGTGCAGAGGGAGCTGTGTTTGGCAGTGCCGGATGCATCCGCTGGCTCGCCCACTCCATTCAGAGATGCAAAAATAAAATTATCCTCATCTACATGGCTGATATTTTCCCCTTTGGGAGGCAGGAGCTTTGTGTGTTCAAAGCTTTTATTTTGTAGAGAAACACTGAATTCAGTTTTCTCGCTTGTCTGATAGACGGATATAAAATCAGTGTAAAAAGCTGCGTGGGCAGAAGCAGCATAAATTGGGGCGAAAGGGATCTTTATATTTCTTAGGCAATGCTCTACTTTCATACATCTTTTCCAATAGGAGAATTGAACTGAATTATCCCAGATTCGTTGGCAATACACTTATGGGGCTGAGTCTTCATGATCCATGTGCCCCTCACAGCGCTGCGCCTAACACCTTGCCAAGGAGAGCGTTGCTGAATGCACCAGGAGTGAAGGACGCTTTTAGACACACCCTCCATGCTTCTTCAGACTGACTTTATTAGTCACATTCTATTCTGGGGCTGCTGACACTGAAAAGAAAAATCTGACAGCCCTAGTGGTTTGGCTCAGGGGATAGAGTGTTGGCCCACAGACTGAGAGGTCCTGGATTCGAGTCCGGTCAAGAACACATACCTTGGTTGCAGGCTCCCTGGCCCTGGTCAGGTTTCGTGCAGGAGGCAACCAATTGATGCGTGTATTTCATATCGATGTTTCTCTCTGTCTCTCCCTCTCCCTTCCACTCTCTCTAAAAATCAATGGAAAAATATCCTCAGGTGAGGATTAACAAAAAAACAAAACAAAAAAACCGTCAGCACAGAGCAGACCACCTCAGTCCAGATCACACTGAGGTTTGAGAACATCTCCCTGGACTGCCTGGCACAGGGAAGGTCCCAGTGTTGTGCTCAAGTACCTGAGTTCCCTGTCTCCTTCCAGGGGGAAGCATGCATCATGGGAGCCAAAAGGATATATAAGAAGCGGAAGTCAGAGCGGAAATGTATGCAAGGAAAATATGCAGGAGCCATGGAGTCTGAACCCTGTGTCTGCACAGAGGCCGATTTTGATTGGTGAGCTGGTGCCTTTATGCCAAGGAGTCCCTCAGTGTATCAAATCCTAGCTGTTGTTATAACTGTTGGTGTCGTTAGTACAGTTATCTTTATCTTTATGAACTCTGTGGAGTGGATGCTGAGCAAAAGCCATGGGGTTTATTGGGGGCAAGCTAGTCATTCAAGTGTAGGAACTGGGGTTCTCTAAGCCAGAATGTTCAACCCGTGCTTTTTTACGGGGTCCTTAATGAAAGCTGTGATTTGAAATAATAGTGACCTAGCTAGATAGAGCCTCCTATTTTTATGAAATTACCTTTGGAGACATCATGGTTTACTTGTACATGTGCATATGGAAAAACCAGGCATTTCTGTAGACTGAAAGAGGATTCCAAAGATGGCTGGTAATTATTTTCCTCTGTGTGATAGATCTCAGGACAAAACACCCTGAGTTGCTTCAGATGGCAACAGTGGAAACAAGGAGTGTCTTTTCAGAGAGCAAACATATGTGTGCTCAAGATTAAGCTTTCTAGAACCTAGGGATCCTGGGAGTGAAATGATGGCCTTAGGAGGCAGTAAATTTTCTGTCCCTGGAAGTGTTCGGTGGTCAGCTGACTCTTGCTTATGTGAGCATGGAAGGCATTTCTCAATTTGATGGTATTGCCACTCAACAGCTCCGTAATCCTAGCACTAAAGGTGCAAGTCTCCCTTTACAGAGAGTAGGTTCATTTAAACTGGAAAAGTCCTGAGAGGATTAGATGTTAAGTAAAAGAGTGCCAGTGTGAGTCTCCGTAACATTTGGGAAACAGAAATCTGGCTCACGGGGCCAGAGTTCCCTTGCTTTGGTCTAGGCCAGTGTTTAGCATTCAGGTGAGGTTGAAAAATTATTGAGAATGAGTGGGTGGGAACCCCATTGATTATATCCATTTCCTTGTCTGCTCCTCCCCCCCCCATTTTTTCCTTTTCTTTGATATTTCTTTCTATGTTTTGAGTTTAGAAAATGCAATTGCTAATTATGTAGGCAGTGTTAAATGACTGAAACTTGACCTGCTTGAGAACCAAAGTCATTCCTTTAAGAATTTATTTCAAGCTGTGTAGCAATCACTGGTCACATCTCTGATCATCAAAATATCTGAGAGGTATCATGTACACACACATCACAGATCTTAGAAAAAGTAAGTCTGCTCTCATGGGAGACCTCTGGAGATGTCTGAATAAGTAGCACTGGGCAGGCCTGGCAAAATTGGCCGCCAGCACTCAGACTGATCACCAAAGGCTGTTCCTCACTTGTGGGTAGACTGGTAAGGCAAGAGCCAATGCTCTATTCTGGGCTCAGCCAGAGGGCAGAAGAGCTTATTACAGTGGAGCTCACAATGAATTCTACAGGGGCCTCCCCAGCCATGACTTGTGTTTTAGTCATTGTAACATGATTTCAATGACAAAAATACTTTATCCCTTTCCTACGTTTCAGGATTGACACCCTGAAATACCTTGACAGGGAAAATGTTCCTGGGAATTTTAAGTCATTCATCCCATCCCTCTTTCTGAAGCCAAATGCTTCTCCTTCATCCACTGTATTCAAAGGGGATTTGTAAAGGAAGTGAGCATTTCACCTTTGCAATTGAATTTTAGCCTTATCAACCAGCCATTCTTGTGCAGGGAGCAAATGTATCCTCTCATAAAAAACACTGGGAAGAAGTGAGGTGAGATGTCCCAGTTCCCTGATTTCTCCTGGAAATATGTCTTGCTTTGGGAATCTTTTTCATGAGGTGCCAAAATAAGCTAGACCAGGGGTGGGCAAACTTTTTGACTCGAGGGCCACAATGGGTTCTTAAACTGGACTGGAGGGCCGGAACAAAAGCATGGATGGAGTGTTTGTGTGAACTAATATAAATTCAAAGTAAACATCATTACATAAAAGGGTTCGGTCTTTTTTTTTTTTTAGTTTTATTCATTTCAAAAGGGCCGGATCCTTGCCCACGGCTGCTCTAGAGTGATGCTTTCTTAATGCAAATAACTCACCTGCATTGGCTTTAAGGTCTTCAGGTGTGACCATGACAACAAATCGGATTTTTTTTAGTTTTATTCATTTCAGACAGGCCGGATCCGGCCCACGGGCCGTAGTTTGCCCACGGCTGAGCTAGACATTTGTTGTCATGGTCATTTTTGTTTTTCTCTTTCAAATTTAAGCTAGTCTAGAGTAAAAGAAACACAGGGGAAGGAAAGCAATCAGGTTTCTCCCCTCCCCCACCTCTCATACCCCTCAGTCTTGGCCCAATTCTTATATTCATTTGAGATTGGAATCTGCTTCTCTTAGCACAAACTGATATGTATTCTGAGAAGTGGGAAATGAATTGTGAATGAGGCCATTGTGTTGTTTTCTGTCCAAAGGGGATTTTTGTAATGGCATAATTTCTGAAAGTATTTTGGAAAGCTTACCATGACCTTAGGAGTTTCTACCAGTAGCTAGAGCGTTATTGATCCCACTTGACTGTAGCATAATGAAAGGTGGTTGTCATTGAATGTTCCCTCTTGCCTTGGCTGTCCCCTGGACAGTCCCCTGGGTGACCTTGCCTGTCATTCTCCAGCAGTTGTAAACTAATTATCTGAAATGAACACTGGGTGTCCTGTGGGCATCAGTTCTGAAGGCTTCCTACCCATGCTGTGTTGAACCAGCACCAAGTCCAGCTGGTATGTGCAGAATTTTAAGTGCCAGCTGCCTGGTGACAGGCCCCTTAAGCTGAGCCTGTTCTCCCTTCCCAGCTCTGTGCGCCAGCATCTCACCTCCATCACACAGATGGGCCAGTTCATATGAGTGCTTGCTGGTCGCTGCCTGCAATTTGTATGTGCATGTGGTGGTGCATTTTGTCATCAGCCTCTGCCTGGGTTCATCTTCCAGAAGCCGAGGATGTCAGGCCACTCGGAGGCCCCTGGGGGCAAGAATGAGAGGAGGCTGAGAGAAAGGGCTTTGACTGTTCCCAACTAGAGAGAGGATTTTTAAATCCTCTTACTTAGCTAGTACTGCCAGTTGGGACCAGGACAAAACTTTTCCTTGGGGAAATTCTCAGGACACTCCTGAAGGACACTTCCTTTCCTGCTGTGACTTTGAAGCATATGGCTTATGCACAGACAGACCTGGATCCTCTACTTAGTAGATCCAGATGTCTTGGAAGAACACCCCAAAGACATCAACATGAATGAGCACCATGCCACGTGTTGCTGTGTTAAACTTTTCAGTGAAACTTTACACCGAGGGTGGAGCTTCCTCCACTGCCTTTTCACTAGTTATAGCTTCCTCTGGACCAACCACGATCGGTATTGTGTATCCTCCTAATGAAAATTGTATCTGCTCTCTCAGCTTCAAGGTATTTACTTAGAATTATTGGGCATTGAGCCCAGTCATTGTGGCTCAGTGGTTGAGCATCGACCCATGCACCAAGAGGTCACCCAGTTTGATTCCTGATCAAGGACATGCCAGCATTGTGGGCTCGATTCCCAGTACGGGGCGTGCAAGAGGCAGCCCATCAATGTTTTTCTTTTCTCTCATAGATGTTTCTATCTCCTTTTCATTCTCCCTTTCTCCCTCTCTAAAATCAATTAATTATCAAATATATATAAATATCAAATATATATATATATTAAATATCAAATATAAATTATATATATACATATATATATGTAATATATATAATTTCTTTAGAAAGAATTATTGGTCATTGAGCCTTCATTTCTACACAGGCATCCCTCTTGCCTCCAAGTCAGCATTTCTGAAAATGGCTTCTGTAGGATATCTTCATGGGTAACATAGATATTCCCTGGAAAAAAAAATCCATTTTTGGAATTTAGTGAATACCTCTTTCTTGACTAAGTGACTGGAGTTGAAGTTGCCTGTGGACTAACATGAAATTGTTCTCAGTAATTTTGCCACCTACTGAAAGGCTTCTCTTGGCTCTTTCCCCAACAGTGACTATGGTTATGAGCGACACAGCAATGGTCAGTGCCTGCCAGCGTTTTGGTTCAATCCATCTTCTCTGTCCAAGGATTGCAGCCTGGGACAGAGTTATCTCAACAGTACTGGGTGAGTGTCTGGAGCAGTGACCTTGAGAGGTCCACCTTTGCTGCTTTTCAGCATGTGTTAAAGGTACAGAATTACTTCTGATAAAAAACCAGGCCTATTTCATTACAGCACAATTTATTTGCTTTCGTTCATTTTAGTAATGAAGCACAGATTTGCATTAATACCACACATTTCATCTGAGAATAAAACCCCAGTTGTAAATAAAGAAGTAAAACAGGTTCAAAGATGATAGTGATAATATGTAAATTGCTTCATTTTTTAATACTTTATTTCAGAACTCCTCAATAAAGACTACATTTTACCCTCCATGCATCCCTGTGAGGAAGGCCAAGTAACTATTTCATATCTGCATTTCCTGCAGTGTAGATGTGGGGATGTGGGACCTAGAGTCAGAGAAGAAGCTCATTGACTTTTCAAGAGTATATTAGCAGAAATGTTTTTTTCCATGTCCATTCTTGGCACGTTGAAGGCATGCATTCAGATCCTTATAAATCTGGAATCAGATTCTAAAGTTTTGGGTTTGATGTTCTGTGTTGTGGAGTTTATCCAGTATTATTTAAGAAATATAATAAAAGGGAAAATAATCCATGACTTTTCCACAAAAGTAACTGATGTTTATAGACTTAAAAATAGTGCATGTGATATATTTGGGTGCTAATTCAATCTGTACAAAGACATATTTTAGCTATTTGGGGAAATTTGAGTATGGACTTGTGATTAGGTGATGTATTAGTCAGGGTTTTCCAGGGGTATGTTTTTATATCAGACTAGAGGCCCAGTGCATTAAATACCTGCACGGGTAGGGTCCCTAGGCCTTGCCGGCAATCAGGGTCGATCTGTGGGGTGACTGGTGGGGCGATTGGGGGCCCCCTCCCACTAGCACCCACTTTGGCTGGCCTGGGGCCTGTAGACTGGAGGCAGCTCCTGCATTGAGCGTCTGCCCCCTGGTGGTCAGTGCACATCATAGCAACCAGTTGTTCCACAGTTCAGTCAATTTGCATATTAGGCTTTTATTATATAGGATAGCTACCTAGCTAGCTAGCTAAATGGATAGAGAATTTATTTTTATGAGGGGTTGGATCACATATTTATGGAGGTGGGCCAGTCCAAATCCCAAGATTTGCAGGGTGCATGGCACGTTGGATAACTGATGTATGCTTGCAGTCCTAGTCTAAAAGCAAGAGAACCAGGAGAGCTGACTGTGTACTTTCTACCTCAAGGCCAGCAGGCTTGAAACCCAGGAAGACCGCTGCTTTCATCTGAGTGTGAAGGCAGGAAAAGCGCTGATGTTTAGGGGAAGGACACCGGAAAGGAAGAATTCTTTCTTACTTAGGGGAGGGTCAGCTTCTTTGTTCCCTTCAGACCTTCAATAGATTGGATGAGGCCCACCCACATTGGAGAAGGCAGTCCGCTTTATGCAATATACTGATTTACATGTGAATCTCACTCAAAACCACCTTGGCAGAAACATCTAGAATAATGTTTGACCAAATATCTGGGCACCCCGTGGCCTATTCCAGTTGACAAATGAAATTAACCATCACAGGTTATATCTAAATCTAAATATTTATATGTATGATATTACATTAACAAAATATGTTATAGTGATGTATTTAGCTATGATAATTGTATTTTGGTTAGGCCAAAATAAATAAATAAATCTACCTTATCTTTTACAGATACATAATGTGTGAGATTTCCTATAAATTGTTAAAAAAGGAAAAGATACTGGTAATATTTGAAGATGTTAATAGAGACATGGGGATTTATTATACTATATTCTATCATTTGTGCATATTTTAAAATTTGACATTAAAAAACTAAAAAGAGGGAAAGGGAAGAAGAGAGGAAGAGGAAATGGGAGGGAGGAGAGAGTAAGGTGTAGGCATCTCACCAGCAGGCCAGTTCTACTTGACAACTCCTCACTTCTCATGCCAGCTACATACAGGAGTGGGGACTTGCGGGTTTTCTCTTATGCGCTTACCTTTAGTTGAAAATTTTATATTTTTATATGTAATTAAAAAAATATTTCCAAAATAATATATACTGCTCTTCAACAGGAAGGGAAAAAACATGGACGAATACCTCAAATATAATTTTCTCTGATGTCATGGATTCCTAGAACCTTTGAATGAAGGAATAAGTTGTGATTTCTTTGATCCATGACACAAAATCTAAGAAAAATACAAATAACATTTTCTCAGCAATGGGTCAGTGAGATCGTCAGCATCTAATACCTTGGGAAACAATTGAAAAGGGCTGATGGAATAGATAAACTTAATGTTATAACTAAGTTTATAACATTAAACACATAACTTAAACTTATATTGCTTGTATGTACCAGCATGTTTAGAGCTTGTGAAAGGCATTGGAAACCCCTACAGCTAATTTCAGAATCAATTTCTTTTCACTACTTCAATCAGTCAAGGAAGTTATATTACTCTCTCTCTCTGGTATTGATGAGAAGAGGCTGAAGTATAGAGGATTCTAAATTGTTCCAGATGCTACTCAATAGGCAGAATGAACACACACACACACACACACACACACACACACACACACACACACACATTTTTAAAGCTACCTCTAAATAGGTTTCACCAATCCTTAGGCAAATCAGTATTTGAAATCTGAGTAAATTCTGACTTACCATATGTAAAATGAAATGTCACAGATGCATAAATTATTCAATGGCATTTTTCATCTATTCCCTATAAAATTAAATTTAAAAGTGTGATTCAGTGATCAGCGTTCAGGTGCATTAGTGTTCGTCAATGCAGTTATGTTTATTAATCACAGAATGACAAGCTTTACTCCCAGGGCTCAGCCTTCACTCCCAGAGGTTGGTTCATGTCAGTGGGTTTTACATGATAGCATCTGATGCTAAAGGATTTTTAAGTTACCACATCTACTGCCTTCATCTATTCCAGGCAAACATTGTGAAAAAAAGCACCATCCTCAGTGAGTAAGCTTGTGTAAAGAGAGCATGTGATAAATACCAGCCATCAGCAGGTCTGATAAATCCCTGCTGTTAAGAGTAAGATGCTCACAGGTGGAGTGACCACCCACAGAGGGCTCAATGGGCCAGTGTGTGTGTGTGTGTGTGTGTGTGTGTGTGTGTGTGTGACAATAGTAACCTCAGTGGTCAGTGTGTTGTCTAAACACACTGCATTTTGCAAGAATTGGCAAGAGGTAAAATGTGGATGAAATTGGAAAGGAATTTTCTGCCTTTCTTACTGTCACTCCAGCCCCTCACCTGAGATGTCACTTGCTGTGTGTTGATTCATTAGCATCTAAACACAGGTTCAGTATTTAATGTTATAGCCACTACAGTGCTGTCATTAAGCACTTAGCTCTTCATTGAAAATATTTAATTACATAAGAAATGTATACACAGGTTCTATGTTTAAATAGTCCATTTAGATCATCACTCCAATCCTGCCCCCTTTTCCACACAACTGTGATCTGATTGCCATGTGTGTTATCAAACACTTTTCATTTGCCAGTAGATAATTATGCCAAGGAAAAATATATGAAATTAATTGGGGAGGTTGTTTTTATATGTGATGTCCTACTAGGTATATTGTTTTTTTTCCCCACTTTTCATTCAAAAACATATCTTCAACATCTTTTCAAGTTGGATTATGTAAGGTTGCCTTCTCTAAGTACATTTAATTCCATGCTATTAAAGCACCTGGAATTCTAAGGCATCCTCTTTTTGGACATTTTGCTCATTTCCTATTTTCTTCTATAAACAATTCTGCAGTTAATATTCTCATACCTTCATGATTGTTGTTAAAAGCATACAGCAATAATTAGTCTCTTTTGGCAATTGGAGGTGTTTCTGCTGATTTGTAAAGCAAATTCCACCCAAGTGCCTGGTTCTTTCTTGGACCTTTGTATCCAGGCTTTGCCAGATATCTGCCCCATATGGGCTAAAATACTAGCTTCCTGCTTGCAAACCTCCTTGGAGTCCCACACAACAGAGATTCATTTGTACTAACTGTCACTCTCCTTTAAAATATAAATGCCCGTAGATTCTGTAAGGCAAAGCTGAGAGGAAGGCTGAGGAGCATTTCCCACATTAACAAGGTGAGGAAGGTCATTTCAGACAAAAGAAACCAAGAGACTACCTGGGGAAAGGGCCACCATGCCTATAGAATCAAGGAGCCACCATGTACCCCAAGTCGCTACAATGCCAGTTTTAACCCATCTGTGGGCATTGCCTGCTCAGTCAGTACAGAATCTGTATTAGCTTTGGGCAGGGATGAAGCACAGGGCATCACAGGTGCAAGGTCTACCTGAGCGTGGACCTCCCATAAATGTTGCTCCCCAGACACCTCACTTCCTCACTCTGTCTCCTACAGCAGAGCACACCTGTGGTCATGCAGTCAGAGTTTGAATTGAATGGGTCTAGTAAACAATCATTTCTTGCCAGTCAAGCTAAACAAGCAAACCTCCCAACATCACCTATTTTACAGTTTAGCTGAAAGCATGCAGGTAAACCTTCCTTTTCCTTTTATTCTTTTTTAAATGCCCCACTTTATAAATGGTTCTGTTCACTTTCACAGTCAGCTTATTACCCTGTATATATAGCGGTGTTCTCAGGTTCACTCAATTCACTGTGATGGAAACATTCTAGCATCGGCTAATATCATGCTCCATAGAAATGCTATCTTGAGGAGATGCCAAAATATTTATCAGCTTCACTGTGCAGAATAATTGTGCAGGTTTTGTTTTAGTTCTTGGCTAGGACTGAGAAGAGATAGTTGGAATAAGAGCTGAAATGGGTGCAGAATGTCCCTCCAGGTGGCTGTGGCCACCAGTCCTTAGTCCTTGGTCCATGGAAAAGTGTGTGAGCAGAGTCCGGCTGTGTTCTCCACTGTAAGCTCCCTGCATCTGTTCATTCACCCTTTACCCTCACACCTTCCATTAGCCATTCCGTGGAAAGCAAAGAGGCTGGTGCTGGAGCTTAAGCTTGTTATGGATGGAGAATGAAA